CGGCAGAAGGTTCGCGGGTATCGCCGTAGCGCACTCGTCCGCGTCGGGCATGAGCTGTTTGAATTTGTCTACCTGTAAGCGGGAAATTAAATCGGCACGACTATTACTTAAACCTGGCACATGTTGTGCTCGAAATAAGATATTATGGCGTAAACAACTTAATACGAAGTCACGTGTCAACATCATAATGATCTTATCTTTTGAGGTCTGTCGATTAGTGATTTCAACCACTGCTGCGTTGTCAGTGAAAAACGTAACACACTTATTAGCCATATTTGACCCCCAGATATGTATGGCAATAACAATAGGAAAAMATTCTAGAAATGCGATGTTAAAGGATTTCCAAGAAGCCGGCCAAGCGCCGCAAAACCAATGCTTACCAAAGATAGCCCCGTAACCAAGTGATGCCGCGGCATCKGTGTATAGTTCGAGGGTAGAAGACGTCTCCCATTTTCCCCCCAGAAAAAACGATTTGCCGTTGTAGGCGTCTAGAAATTGACACCACGTTATAATATCTTTTTTGACTTCCTGAGTTAAACGAATATGATGATAGGGATTAAGGCGACCCTTGGTAAGATCAATCATGCGGCGCAGGAAAGCGCGACCTGGAACGATCACAGAGCAAGTAAAATTTAAAAGGCCTAGTAAGGATTGTAATTCACTTAGCGTGACTGACCGCTTTTTATAAAACGAACGAAGAAGAGTGTGACATTTTTGAAGCTTATCATCAGGTAATYGGGTCTCGCCTTTGACAGAATCTAAAGTAATACCCGTGAATTGTAGAGCTGTCTCAGGGCCCACCGTTTTCTCTGGAGCTAATGGGACTCCAAGGTAATCGCACATGCCCATGAAATTATTGAGATCTGTACGACACCTATCCTCGGTAGGTGCAATGAGTAAGAAATCGTCTAAAACATGTAACACAGCCRACGCACCGAGACGTGTCAACGAGAGCCATTCTAGAGATGTACTGAAAGCTTCAAAAATGGCACATGAAGAAGAGCAGCCCATAGGTAGACATTTGTCAAAATAATACATTCCATCCCACTTGAGCCCCAGCAAAGGATAGTCAGTAGGATGAATTGGAATAATCCGAAAAGCTGACTTAATATCAGTTTTCGCCATAAAACAGCCTGCCCCCACACGTTTAATGGCAGAAATTGCCTGACCTATTGAAGCATATTGTACCGAGGAATAAAATTCGGGAATAAAATCATTAACTGAAGAGCCTTTAGGATATGATAAATGGTGTATTAAACGAAATTCCCCAGGAACTTTCTTGGGAACTACACCAAGGGGCGAAGTCCGAAAATTAGAGAATGGAGGCACCGAAAAAGGCCCAACAATTCTGCCGGCTTCGCATGCCTTACGCAACTTAGATAAGGTGACTTCCGGTTGCTCAAGAGCGCTCTTGAGATTCGGTGAGATGAAAGATAAGCGTTTACCCAGAAAATTAATACGAAAACCGAAACGAAAACCGTTGCACAAGTAAAACTTTAAAGGTCGTGGATATCCGTCCAAGAGATTTT